AGGGCAGGACAAGAAGCAATGGGTGGAAACTAATCAAGGAGAGAAGCAACTTAGAACTGAGGAGGAATTTCTTGACAGATAAAACAATCAGTGGAACAACTTGCCTCCAGAAGTTATAAATGCTCCAACACTGGAGGTTTTTAAGAAGAGATTCTAACCATTTGTCTGAAATGGTATAGGGTTTCCTATCTAGGCAGAGGGTTGGACTAGAAGACCTCCAAGGTCCCTTCCAACTCTACTTTTCTATTATTCTATTTCTACTCTACTCATCTCATATAAATAAAAGCGGGATTTAAAAAAATAACAGTAAATACTACACTCAAAGTGGCGACCTACCCGATAGCCCTGCTCTTATTTTGCCCAGAACAACCACCCCGTGATCTGGGTTGGGTTGGGTTGAGAGAAGGGGGGGGGGAGGATTGGCCCCAAGTCACGTCTTCAGATACCCATTTTTGCCTAACTAACAACAACCCTGTGAAGGGGGCCACCGCGCTGTTCGGTTTCAAAATTCGGGGCGGCAACGAACAGCGGAACCCCAAGAGCCCTCAGTCTCACCTCATCCCCAGCGGAAAGGATGGATTCGGTGGAGAGAATCGAACCTACATTCAAATTCAGGGCTTCTGCTCGCAAACCCGATACATTTCCCCTCCGCCGCCCCCTCCCCGGATCACTCTTCGGCTTCCCCCGGTCCCATACACCCGGCCCTGACCTTACAGAGCTGCTGCCCCTGGCTGAGCGCTTCGAAGGAGAACCGCTGGTGGCACTTGGTACAAGCGTAAAGCGCCGCCATTCCGCCGCCTTCGTTAACAGGAGGAGCAGCCTTCACCCAACCCGAGGTGGTGTCCCTTTCCCTCCTCTCGACGTCATTGGCTAACGTCCAGGCCATTCAGCAGTTGGTAGGCGGGCGCTTCGGCCTTATCTTGAGGCTCATTGAGGCTCTCCGGACGTCACTCAGAAGCGGGAGGCGGGGCGGCTTTGGGTGTTTGGGGAAACGGCAAGGGGGAAAAAAAACACGAGCTCCGCTCTGACGTCATAAAAGGGCGCCATCCGGAGGGAGGTGGTGGGGGAGATAAACATCAGGTGACCCGCGTGAGGTGTCTTTTACCATAGAGAGCAGGGAAGAAACGAGGCTAGAGTGCTTCACAGTCTGGTTCAAAGATAGATGCCGGAATAGTGGAGGAATTTCTGCCTCGAAAGGAACAAAATCTTGTGTTGCGTCGGAAGATCTTTCTCCCCTGCATTGTTCTTGCTCCTTCCGTGTTTTGGGCGTGCAGAAAGCGAGCCTTAGAATCACAGTCGTGGAAGGGACCTTAGAGCTCCTCTAGTCCACTCCCACCTGAACATATTACTTAACATATGCCTTGAACATAGCCACTATTTGTTGCAAAACATAAATTCAAGCATAAACTCCAGATCTTAAGGCCAAATCTTATGTTATGAGCTACGCATTTCTTAAGAAAAAGACGAGATCAGCCATATAATTCAAGGTTTTTTTATTGATTTGCTTCAGATATTACACTATTATTTGTTTAGCCATGGTTTATAAATCTGCCATAATTGGCTAATTTTGCAATGTGCCAAATCACCGTAAGGTATAGTTTACAAACCACAATGGCAAGGCTAACAAAATATGAGTAACATAGTACTTGTATAGGACCTTCTGGTTGTTTTCATTAAAATGCAAAGGTACTAAAAAAAAAGCTGCTTCATTAGAATTGATGGAGAATTATTAGCTTTTTGCATAGTAGCCACCTTAATATTGTTCAGGGATCACAGTGCAAATAACTCAATTCCATCTACCCACATTTGTTTGCTACATGAAGTCTACTATGCTCTCGGAAATGGATTTTATGATAATTTAATATGTTTTCCCTTCCATTTTCTATCCCAGTAGTCTGAAGGGTTGTGATCTTACACAAGTGTGTGTATTACCCACTGTTCAGTGGTCTCAATGATTCAAAAAGCTAGGGGGGAATGATAGGTTAAGATAAGTGCATACAGACACATGTTCAAACTTCAGTTTTTGCCTTGCAATGCAGTAGCATTTTGCAGCATGAATGGCGACTCAGCTGAGTGATCTGTAAAATGAGGACCTTTTGCTATGGAATTTTCTAATACAATACAACCAGATGTCTTTTGCTGAACGTGACAGCCATTGTTGTTAGGCCAGGATTGGATAGGTGGCACTAGAAGTCACCCCGCAGTTGTTTTCCTTCATGGACATGAGGATGTAGCCATCATTGCCCCAATATGTAGACCAAGAGTTCTTAATGAGCCAGTAAGGTTCCCCCTGGAGGTCTCCGTAGCCTACAGCTAGGACAGCATGATCTAACTCCATGGTTGCATTTCCTAGAAGAATAAGTGTGATAATTAACTTATCATCTTCTTTGACAACTCATATATATATGAAGAAACAACAGGTTTAAAGGTATTTCTGATTTCCCCCCCAGAGAGGTAGATTCTCACTTTCTCTATTGCTGTTCTTTTTGCTGTAAACCGCGTCCCTAACTCAATAGTCAAACCTGCCTTCGATTATCTTGATCCTTTCAGAAAAAGACTGGTTTGGTTAGAATGTAGAGATTGAGTTTGAGCAAATTTCATATTTTAATGAAATACAAGAGATTCACCATAAATTCTGAAGAGGCTTCAATTCCCAGCAACGCTGGCTGGGGAATTCTGGGAGTTGAAGTTCACCAGGCTTAAAGTTTCCAAGGTTGAAGACCCCTGTTCTAGAGGATCTAGCATAGCTGGTGTGGAACATTCCCTTCACTGTGCCCTTTAGTAAATTGTATAGCTGGCCACACCTAGCTGACACTCCTTTTGTCTACTGGCAACTCTCCCTTTTCTAAACAGAAGACAGCTCTTCTCCAGGACAACCATTCTTCTCACAGCAAGCTGATGAGATAACTCTCAAAATTCCCAAGGTGCCCACCAGCACAAAAGACAATGAGCATCCCTATCATTAAGAAACTCAATGGTTCAGTGCGTTGTTCCAACAGATTTGCTACATCCAGATCCCCGCTTGGGAAAAAGACCACAAACCAAGAAGTGAAAGAAAACTCACCACAGTTGGGCTCATAATAGATGCCATTGGAGTAGAAGGCAAAGGACTTGTGGGAGGCATCGATGTTCACTGCGATGGGGCCATGCTTGTACAGAGCAGCTTTGAGGTCACTGATGTTTTGGGAGGTAATAGCTACGAAGCCGGTGATTGGTGCCATCAGCTCCGATTGGTTGTAGTGGCAGTAGCCATTCTGTGGGGGCAGAAGAGACAAAGTACCCCCGTTCACTTCACAGAAGGTACAGTAATCTCAGCCACTAACATGCAGCTTGGTTATCAACCTAGGAGGCTACCAGTGTCAGGGTTCCAAGTAATAAACCCATTGCAAGCAAAATCTTTGAGGCAGGTGGGATCCCCAAAGAATAGCTTTGTTGGAAACAGCATATTGGCACACATCTGGTGAAAACCAACTCTGAAGGGCTCCTTGGGTTTCATCTAATTAAAAGAAAAACTTTTCCCTCAACCCCAAATGATCAGTCACATGGTCCAATCATGGCAGCCTCCTCAGGTCTGGTAACATCACTCCTCCTCCCTCTGGGCAGGTGTGAGAATGTCCTTGGGTCCCATGAGAAAGCATTTTATTTTGGCTACACAACCCCAGCTATCTCTAATCCCCCCTCCCTATTATTCGCTCCAGTGTGGCAACACTGAAGCCTCAAGATGGCTTCAGCCAGATCAGCTTCAGGGTTGACAACCAGATCAGGTTGCGCAGGACCTTCCACACATATGCAGAGCATTAAAAACAGGACGTGATGATGTCCAGCCAGGTGGGCGGAGCCTCCCGCCATTGCCACTACTGGTTTGCCCGAACCGGATAGAACCGGCTGAATTGCACCACTAACCTGACCCATGTATGGCCCATAAGCCTCAGCGGTGGCAATCCCTCCGTGCTTCATAATCCATTCAAATGCCTGTGGTTCCTGGCCCCCATCACAAGCACGGTTCCCAAAACCCCAAGAGCAATCAATCAGGATTTGCTGAGATAGTGGCGTAAGCACTCCTGTCTGCATGGAAAGAACAAAAGAGAACCTCTCTCTGGTTAGAAACCAACTACAGGCAGTCTTCAACTTACAGCAGTTCATTTAGTGACCATTCAAAGTTACAACGACATTTAAAAAAGTGTTTCATGACCGATTTTCACACTTACACTTTGCAGCATCCCCATGGTCAGGTGATCAAAATTCAGATGCTTGGCAACTGATTCATATTTATGATTGTTGGTGTGACCCTAGGTCACGTGTTCTCCTCTTGCAACCTTCCGACAAGCAAAGTCAATGGGGATGCCCAATTCACTTAACAACCGTTGGCCATGCCTGCCTGTCCCCCACAAGGTCAATCACAGCCAGTGGTGGGTTGCAGGCGATAGGCCCTGGTACGGGCATACCGGATCCTGCCCGGAGCACCGATACCATTCCAGTACGGTGCTCCGGAGGGCCCACCCGTCCACCCGCGCTCCTTACCTGTGCTTTAAGCTTTTGGCACTTCCACGAACACGCATGGTGCATACGGCGCCTGCGCCAAGGGCCAAGGTGGCGCAGTGGTTAAATGCAGCACTGCAGGCTACTGCTAGATCAGTAGGTCAGCGGTTCAAATCTCACCGGCTCAGGGTTGACTCAGCCTTCCATCCTTCCGAGGTGGGTAAAATGAGGACCCGGATTGTTGGGGGCAATATGCTGACTCTCTATAAACCGCTTAGAGAGGCCTGATAGGCCTATGAAGCGGTATATAAGTCTACTGCTATTGCTATTGCGCGGTGCTCTGCCGAGCAGCTGAAGCATCTCGGAGGCTTGCGGAAGCGTCATTTGATGCTACAACACATGCGCACATTGTGCGTGTGCATGTAGGTGACTCCGGGGCTGTTCCAACCATAGCGGTTGGAACGGAATCCGGAACCCACCACTGATCACAGCCCTGATGTGGCCCTCAATGACATTGAGTTTACACCCCTGCACTGGACCAAACAGTAATCACTGTCAACAATTGATCATTGGTAGTCTCACCTTGAGAAAGAGGGCCCCTTCCAGAGCTCCTGTTGTGGCAAAACTCCAGCAGGATCCACACACAGCCTGGTCTTTAACAGGTGTCACGGCGCCTTTATTGGGAAGGATTGTCAAAATAACAATTAAGGATTCCAGCATTCCAGGTAACGCAGCATACAAAAGGCATTCGATTAGATGAAATTTCTCTGGGCTAAAACTTAAACCAAAGAGTGGATTTTAATGGGTTGAAACCCAAAAGGAGGACTTAGATGGAACCATTCTGGTCTGTGGAAGATCCGAATTCTATTCCTCTGATAGACACAGGACTTTAGTTTCAGAGGGGGAAATCTAATGTCACAAATCCTCTTTTGCCCCAGCCTGCAGTTTCTTGTTTAACATTTTTTTATACTGGGTTGTAAAATAAAACAAGATACAAAATAGGAAAGTAAATAGGAAAAGGGTGGGGAGGAAGAGAGGGAAGAGAAGTGTGGGAGGATAAGGGGGGGAAAAAAGGAAAAGAAACACCGACTTCCAACTCTCTCTGTTGCAGTAGAATAAGGCATTGACATCAAATCCCAACTTTTTGCTTTTTCATAACAATATGAACAAGTCATTTCTACAAAGATCTATCAATCTAATTGGTAAAACCCAAGACCTAAATTTCATTCGTTTCCACTTCAAGCACAAAGTTCAGAAGTGGTCTCCACCAACCTGCAGTTTCTGATACAGTTTTTTCTGCCCCAAGGACAGAAAGTGGCAGTTGCTTTCTGTGGAGTTGCTGTGTGGAACATGAGCTGAGCAAAAGACACTTAGGTAAAGGTAAAGGTTCCCCTCGCACATATGTGCTAGTCGTTCCCAACTCTAGGGGCCTGTGCTCATCTCCCTTTCAAAGCTCAAGAGCCAGCGCTGTCCGAAGATGTCTCCGTGGTCATGTCCCACCAAGGTAGTCCCTATTTTTCTACTTGCATTTTTTACGTGCTTTCAAACTGCTAGGTTGGCAGAAGCTGGGATAATTAACGAGAGCTCACTTCATTATGCGGTGCTAGGGATTCAAACTGCTGAACTGACGACTTTTCTGATCAACAAGCTCAGCGTCTTAGCCACTGAGCCACCGTGTCCTTCAAAAGGCATCACAATTACCGTAAAGCCTCCAGTCTAAGCTCTCTGGCAAGGGGAGACCACGGTAGCTGTCAGATGGGAACGCCCACCCTTTCCTGGGTTCCTCAGTCTGTAGCCTCCCCCTCATCACGGCCATCTCTTCCGGTGTTCGATCTGCCAAATGGTTTAGGGCCAGTTTGAAGGAGAGATTGGCTCGGTTCTTGGAGTGGATGTACCTAGAAGGATGTGGAGAAAGAGAAGATGATGCATTCTCATTTGAAGAAGAAAGAGGGTGGACGGTTGCCTGGACTGGACATATTTAACCTCATTAGTGTTCTTATTTCTGCCAAAAATCCTGCAGACTCTATTTAATTGCGGTTGGAGAGGGTTGTGAAGACATAGTTATATGGTGGTTCTCCTGTTTTATTCTGAGGCAGATAAAACTGAAGTGAAACGGGCTTGTATAGCTGGCATACTATGTGTTTACTCTGCCCTACGCATGGAATTGTACAGAGATTGCCTTCCATGGTTGTCTTCTAGGCTTTCATTTAATACAGGGTTCCTCAAACTTTTTAAACAGGGGGCCAATTCACGGTCCCTCAGACTGTTGGGGCTCTCGACAGGCTGGGTAGGTATGGCTAGGTGGTCATGTGACTGGGTGGGCATGGCTAGGTGGTCATGTGACTGGGTGGGAGTGCCCAATTTAGCAGTCCTTATAGCCTTTCACTTGGTAATGATTACTGATTACTGATCTAACCATGTTCTGGTACTAGTTTATGTGTTAGCAAATCATTGGTGACTCTTAGCAGCCTACATAGTAGCAATCATTCCTGTCTCCAGTCAAAACAGCATATCTTGCTTGCAAGTCCTGCCTATTTCAGATTGGCCTTTTGAACAATACAGATTAAACTTTTAATTTATTATGCTCCTGGGGGTGGAAATTAGGTTAGTGAAGGGATGTGGCTATCTTGAGTGGGGAGAGTGAGGGACTTCTGTTTGTGTGTTTGTGTATGTGTCTCTCTCTAGGTGGGGCAATGTGGGCAGGGCAGCCTTGTGGTCCCACATGGGCCGGATTAATGGCTTCAGTGGGGTGCATCCGGGCCACAGGCCGTAGTTTGAGGACCCCTGTTTTAATACGTTTTAAGGAGAAATTCTTGAGTTTCATTGAATTGATGCTAGGAGATGTTCCACTGGAAGCATCCATTCTGACTGAGTAGAAAACAGAAGCATTCAATTGGTACCAGTGAATAGAATAGTAACTAAATATTTAAATGTGAATTAATTGCTGGAATCCAAGAGCCAAATGCCAGAGGTTGCACCCCATCGATCCTGTTTGCCAGATAAAGGAGCTGACATGCTACATTTCTTTTTCCTGCATAAGATGAAGAAATATAAGAGAGCAGGCAGCCATATCAATCTTCTAAATAAATAGATTTACTGGTTTCGTCCTTCACAGTTAACTGTATTGTGGTTTGTTTATTTGGAGCTTAGCATGTAATTAATTAACATGTTATTTACTTGACATGTAATTGTTGAAGAAGCCACAGAAAAGCCCTCAAACTATTAGGTTTGATCTTGACCAATAAGAGGCAATAAGATCCAGCCTCCTTTATTGTAGAACCTGCTTGGTGATCAAGTAGCCAAATCTGGAAAATTGTAGAATTCTAGCTAAGTTTTCCTGCTCTGCATCTGAGCTCTGGTGGCGCAATGGTTAGAATGCAGTACTGCAGGCTAATTCTGCTGACTGCCGGCTGCCTGCAATTTGGCAGTTCGAATCTTGCCAGCTCAAGGTTGACTCAGCCTTCCATCCTTCCAAGATCGGTAAAATGAGGACCCAAATTTTTGGGAGAAATATGCTGACTCTGTAAGCTGTTTAGAGAGGGCTGTAAATCAATGTAAAGTGGTATATAAGTCTAAGTGCTATTGCTATCTCTGCTGGTTCCTTTACCTCATATTGTGGATGAAGTTGTGTCGCCTGTGCTCTATCTCTTTTTTGTTCTTGTAGGTCTTTTGGAATTTTTTCTTGTAGTGATGAAACAGATGCTCATGGTGTTGTCTGACTTCTCCAGTTCTCCCAACGAATTCTTGCATTGGGTTGGCCAAGATCCTGTGTTCTGGTCCTAAGCTTGGCCAGTGTGCACACTTGATGCCTATGAGAAAGGAATCAGAAGATCAACCAAGAAAAAACATGTCTTCCAGAGTTCTCTGTTGTGTGCTATGTGCCAAGAAGACCAATATTAACAATATCGATATTGTTTCAAGATATTATAGTTAGTAGAATCTTGTGATTTCATTTTGACATCACCATAGTCTGGTCATCGAGAAGGTGACCTTGAGAAGGAAGTGGGAAGACCTGGACCATGAATCACAGGCATTTAGGAAAGACTCTTTGGCTTGGAGGCAGGGGTGGGCTTCAAAAATTTAACAAGGGGTTTTCTGCCCGGTTGCTGAGTGGGTGTAAAGGTAAAGGTTTCCCTCGCACATATGTGCTAGTCATTCCCAACTCTACGGGGCAATGCTCATCTCCGTTTCAAAGCTGAAGAGCCAGCACTGCCCAAAGACGTCTCCATGGTCATGTGGCCGGCATGACTAAACGCCAAAGGCACATGGAACACTGTTACCTTGCCACCAAAGGTGGTTCCTATTTTTTCTACTTGCATCTTTTACATGCTTTCGAACTGCTAGGTTGGCAGAAGCTGGGACAAGTCATGGGAGCTCACTTTTGTTACGCGGTGCTAGGGATTCGAACCGCCGAACTGCCAACCTTTCTGATCAACAAGCTCAGCGTCTTAGCCACTGAGCTTATCCTAATTTGGTGCTTTCCATATGTTTGGGGCTTCAGCTTCTAGAGTTTCCATTCACCTGGAGACAGCTGGGTCAGGGAAATTGACTCGACTGGAGGAAGTTGACCAATGCAATGGATCAGGAAGAGGAGGCCAGATACTGACAATATTCCAGAAAATGTTTTTGTCCTTACTTACCAGGAGGGAGATTAAAGATGCTGGGTGAGAAACTGTGAGAGTAGCTGGTATAATCTATTTCATACTTGTCATAGTGGGAGCCCAGGAGAGTGTTGTAGCCTTTCATTTCATAATGGACTGGCAAAGGCCCATCGGAACCATCTGTCACCCACAGCTTGTAGGTGTTCTTCTTCTTACCCCAATAGGAGACACTCTCTAAGACTGTGCAATTCTGTCCATTGTAATGCTCGTGTTGTACATGCTAGTGTAAGAGAGAAGAATAGGAGTAAGGTTTGCCAGTACATTAATGGAAGGGTCAGTTAAAAGATACTGTATTTTTCCGAAGTATAAGATGCACTGGAGTATAAGACGCAGCAAGGTTTTGAAGAAGAATTTTTTTAAAAAAAGGTTTTGCACTCTGCAAACCTCCCCAAAATGGCCCTTTTTTGCGAAAATGCCCCCCCTTTTAAAAAAGGGCAATGAATAGTCCTTAGGAGGCTTGTAGAGTGCTTCTGGGGGGGGGCTCCCAAAACAAGCAAAAAAAGGGCATGGATAGCCTTTAGGAAGCTTATAGAGTGCTGCTGGGGGCTGGGGGGGGGG